AAAGTGATGGTGTCAGCCAGGCCACACCACTAAATGCAAAGCTGTATTGCTTGGTGAAGGCATAAGTAGGTCTGTATTAATTTTGATGGAATAAGCAGTCCCCAAAAGTCAAAAGGTGGCAACATGACTGTCACCACACAGCACTAGGCAGTTAAATAAGCCTTAGGGCTTAGAATACAGGAACCTCAACTACTTAGTGCCATAGCAACATTGTTAAAAGTCTCTTAGACCCTTTATTAATGACACAGAAGAAGCAGGGGAAAAAATATCACAAAAACACCAAAAATTTAAGGTGTGCAGGACCACAGACTTTGCAAATGCAAAAATGTCTTCAACAGACTTCAGAGATGATGATAAGTAACAGTCAGTTTTGTCTAGAGAACATCAGGGATAAAAAGGAGGGCTGGTATCATATTGTATGCTGCGTACTAGTCCAATATCCCGTGGGGTTTACAGCAGAGAGGGGCAGGCAAGGCACACAGTAGTGGGAGAAAGAGTTTCAGCTCCTAGATCATCCAGAATCCAGTAACCTCTGGGCTTAGAAAACTAATGGTTTGTACCACCATGATCAGGGAAAAACCACCCGGAGGAAACACTGCTCCCCAAAAAGACTGGTGCTGGGGCTGCTGTACCCCAAGCAGAAGTGTGATCCTGTGTGGGAAGTGTCCTGCTGCCCCATGTGCTGACCTCCAAACTACTGGAGATACCATAAGTGGGAAGAGAGATCCATTTTGGCATGTCTCCCTGGGCCAAAGACAACTCCGTGAGGGCTGGAGATGGCAAACACTGCATGAGTTGGACCAGCGTTAAAAGTAGGAAAGATGATGAATCTTTCTGGTCCTTTCTTTCTGTTTGCTTCAGGTGAGCTGATCTCAGAGACTGCTGACTCAATACTGAAATACAGACTTCACCCATCTAAGGAGCCTTACTTATCTCTATGGAGAAAAAAAATCTTAGATTTATGTGAACAACGTTGAACGGACAAGAGAGTCATCACCTTGGGACACACAACTTTTAAAGCAGAATGGGATAAATTTGTTTCTGGAAGCTTTGACAAAAGCATAGCAACATTTCCCATCTGAAATACTCCATCTAAAATGCAGTATTTTGTACACTATTATTTAAAAAATAAATTAGCTGAAGTTACACATTTGAAATTTATGTTATAATGACTTAAAACCTTTGTTCACAACAGAATTTATCTCAAAAATATTATCACTTTGAAACGTCTCGAGTATTGTTCAGAATTTATGAAGCAAATTCCCTGGCTGCAATTACAAAGACTCAGATAAGTATGAAACTTCAATAATTTTTTTTTATTTCTTCCACTACGTACGGATACTAACATGGCTTTTTATGCATCTTTATAGTTGAAGGCTATGAATTAAATAACCTGCTCCACAGTTAAATTGTCAGTGCAACCATAGCTGACTGTGCTTGAGGAACAGGCTCAAACTACACCACCTCTTGAGATGCCATGCAACCTGAATTATCCTGTAATCCTATGACTGTTGTTGATAAAACCTAACTACAAAAATGTACAAATGCCAAATTTTCGTATTGTAACTGAAGAGGAAAGGGCTAGCTAAAAAAAAAAAAAAGTCAACAACAAAAATATCCCCAAAACACACTAACAAAGTATTTTCCCTTTAAATTCCTTTCAAATTTTAAAGAAACAAGCAGATACAGAAAACATTGTATGGAATACAAAAGCTTACGCTAAGTATATTTGATACGAATGAGTAGATTCAAACAGCCCACTGTTGGGTGGAAGGAAATCAGTTTTTATATGTTACTAGCTAAAATATGTTAATGTCATTTAAATTAAGTTGCACCTGCCTGTGGAATTAACTTTGTGATTTTAGGGAAAGTGAAACAAGTTCTTCAATCAGAAAACTGGTTTTCTGTAGGCACTAATAGAATCGTTCAAAAAAAGCAAACCTTGATGACAACCAGCAGGCAAATTAGTTTGAAGAGCAGTAGTTTTGTAATTATAGGAATATATTTTTTTCCCTGAAAAGATATAATTGCCTTCTGATATAAACTAGTTAAAAAAGATCCTCCATGACACTTCACTGACTTGTTCAAACAAGCAGTCATGTCCTTAGAACAGTTGGCCATGTTACCAGCTAGCAGTTTTAAATGAGTCCCTGACCCAGGAGGAGCTTGTCAAGTAGCAGAGCTAAGTCCAAAAGAGCTGCAAATCAAAGAAATTGTACAAAGGCACAAGGAAGCCTGGCAAATTAGTCAAACCCACTGTTTCCTGGCATGGAAAAGGCATGGAGATTTAATGGGCTGAGCTGCACTGTTTCATCTATTTGTTTGTAAAATAAAAGCCTAGAGACTTACACAGCCTCATTTATGAGGCTGGCAAGCCCAGCCAACTCTTAACCCTTTCGTTTAATGTACTGTCACTAGAAGCTTAGGGTGCAAGAGCAGCCAAGTCTCCGTGTCAAGTAAGCCATATTGCTGGACAAATTTAAGAAGAAAGCTGCCCCACCACTGGTAGAAAGTATCATAATAGAAAAAAACTACAGCCAGGTAAGAGAGAGTGATGAAGACCCCAACCCAAGCTGTAGTAAAGAGAACACACACACGCTGGAAAGTGTGCCCACAATTCACCGTGAGAACAATTAACACACACACCTGCAGATAGAAAACTCCAGGAGAAAACCATATGGTATTGAAGGAAGAAAGCAGATAATGAGATAGCAGGGGAATGGATATTTTTAAGTGTATGCTGTTGTTATAGCAACAACAACATAACAACACCATCCATCAAGAGCATTCAGTGCCAAACAGTCAAGCAACCTGCTACTATTCTGTTTGTCTTTCTCCTTCTCAAGTGACTGCTGTACCAGTAAGAACAGTTACACTCATTGAGAAATTATGAGTTTTATGCTAGCACTGGGAAATAACAAATACTTTTCACTGATGTTACAACAGCTCTTTGGGCTCTAATTATATCATTTCCTTGTGGAAAAACTCTTGATATTTTCTCAAAAAAAAAAAAAAAATCCCCAAACCCCACCACACTAAAAAAAAAAAGTCCTTGAAATTTGCATATCATTACAATTACTTTTGAGAATGCTAATCTTCTTATTTGTATAACCACACCCCTAGGAACCTCTAGCCCTGTCTTCACTGGACTAGGTGATGCATGAAGAATAAAAGGACAGTCCATTCCTCCAACAGTGCATTCCCCCAACACCATGGCCACTGAACTGCTCACAGACTTGTGTCAATGACTTCTGCTGCGACAAGTAGTCAACCCTAAACCAGTATAGTTCAGAGACAACACTAACGAAACCCTCTACAGTTTATTTTCGATGGTTTTTACACAATTGAGCTTGAAAAGACATATCTCGCCTTACGTACGACTATTTTATGTTAAGCAGCATGCCATGATTAACTACATTTCTATTAAAAAAGCAACTATTATCTTCTGAGTGTTAAAATGGATCAGATGTCCAGTTGAGTTCCAGGACAAAGAGAATGAATCTCTAGATGAAAGGAAGAGGAAATATCTTTTCAGTAGCCTTTCTATGCCCCAGATAGTATTTCAGCAGCATAACACAGTCTGAAACAGAACGCAAGTCTTTTATTTAAAGCTTCAGATTTCACAGCTGGAAGTTAAGAGATGAAAACAATTGAACTCGCAGCTATCAAGAAGAGAGAAGTAGTTCACAAGTAAAAAAATTACAGATATTGAGATGAATTACTGAAGATAATTGTAACCAGATTTTTAATGTAAAAGGTGTAGGCTCTGTTATAGTTACTCCACATTGCCATAGAACTGGCTCTAAAGCTTCCTCAATGCTTTTTTTGGGGAAAAAAAGGTAAATACAGAGCAGGAAGGCAAACCTTATAAGTTAAAGAAGCTAAAATAGGGAAAAAAGAAATGTCACAGAAATAATAAATATAAAATTTTCTTCTGCTGTGATTAAGACAGGGTGAGCAAGGGTCCAAACCATGCAGCTTTTATGATTGCTTCACAGCAAACTGTCAAAGATTTCCCTGTTTTGATCTCAAAGCTGAAAACTGCCTCCTAGAATAGCACAGATAATGTGGATGAATTATTTTAGATCTGCCTTTATGCACTGCTATTTTAAGGTCAGATAGATACACTCTTCTCCATGGCACAAGATCACAGCAGAACTGCTGTACTCCCATGTACCTTGCACAATCCAACTGTGGTAAATTCCTCCTGTTCAGATTGCTGCAAACTTTGAGAAAAACTAATTCCATTGCCTCTGCTTGATAAATAAATGCATATCCTTAAATAGCCCTCAATTTTTTAAAATGGAAATTGAAAACCACTGTTTTGCTTTACTAAATACAAATGTGAGCAGTAGTTTCTTGGCTTGATTGCAGGCTCACTGCATGCCTGATCAACGCAAACATAGAAGACTTAGAAATACCTCCTGATAAAAAAGTTGGGTTTTGGGTGGTTTTTTTGTTTGGTTGGTTGTTTTTTTAAAGAGAAGTTGCATGGGTACTTTTCCAGATTTCTCTTGAAAGCTTAAAAAAAAAAGAAGAAAAAAAAAAAAAGAAGCTGTATAGTACTTTCATCTGTCAATTCTGAAAAAACTGCAATGCATTTGACTAGATCAAGTACAAATCTATAATATAGCTGCCCGCATAAATGAGCTTTAGGAGAAGGTAAGAAGGAAGAGTGATTATTTCATAGCATGGAGAAGAAATAATAAGAGGACGCACATATCTGAATAACGCAAAAGCTTGACCACGTTGGTTCTTGTTGAAGAATAACAAAAAGGCAGAAGTAGCAGCAAAGTCACTTCATTTCAAGATCAAAGGACTTGACCCCAGTGATACACAAGCTTTATCTACACAAACCTTTTTGAGATAAAAGCAAATTGTTACAGATTACAGATGTATTTGGTCAAGACCCATATACAAGATTCCACAATTAGACTAGTTCAAGTGCCCAACTGTGTATTGTAACAGCCCGTTTTCTTAAACTTTCACAGGAAACTCACCCCATCTGGTCTGCCATCCGAGGCTGTAACAATCAGAATATAGCGATCAGTGCTTTCTCTGTCCAAGGGCTTTCCTAAGGCTAGCAGTCCAGAACTAGTAATAAAACAGAAACATAAAATGTTATCACAACAGTTGCAAGATATCTACAAGCACTTTTGTTCCACTACTTTGCGTTACACAAATGTTTCCCCTTTAAGCAAGTTAATAAGCTTTTAGGCTTTATTACAACTGAAGGCATGCTTTGTGTCGGTAAAGGCTAATAAAAACAATGAGCCAATTTCTAATGCTTTCCGCTTCGATACATGTATAATTTAGGATTAAAATAACAACCCAGTGACCTACAGGATTCTACAAAAGATAGACCTACACTGAACACAGAACACTCATTTGTTAGAAAGCTGCACTGCTATAATAAATGAGAAGAGAGAATCACAAGCAGCCTATTAATCACAGAGAAGTCCCGATACCCCTGACAGGACTGCAGCAGTAAACTCGGGCAATACAACACGCACGGTCTTAAGTATGAGCCTGCTCAGAGTTTTATAGTGAAAGGCTACTAACTCCCATGTTGTGTAACTGCAGTGAAAGTGCTGCAATGAGCTAATGCCCTTTCAGGGCTAGCACAGATATACCACATTCCCTAAGAAAAAAATATTAATTTAGGCACAAATGTTGTGGAAAATTAATCAGGATATTGTGATTATTGATGCCTATTTTTAAAAGATGACTAATCTTTTGGAAGCCACATAGACAAAAAATTAAAAAAAAAAACCAAAAATGCTGTTTGAAAGCACTGCAAATTCCTGTAACTGCTGACAAATAAAAGAATTTGGATTTTTTTCTCTAGGATGATCTCATTTCCTCATGCAGAAGTCTGAAAGCCACCTGGAGTTTGCTGTAGCAACATAGAGACAAGATCCCGCTGCGGCCTCATTACTTTTATAATAGGAAGCATCAGAAAAGTACTGTTGAGTTGACAATCCTGCCAAACTCTGCTTAACTCAATTGGCACCAGTGGTACTTCTGTGATCAGCCCCAAATCATTTGCAGGATTTTGGTGTCTCCTGGAACCTGGTTAATTATGTAACAAATTGACACATCTTACATGCCACCCAGTCCATAGGCTATTTAACAAATATGCACCAACAAACATGGATCCAGGATGACATTTATCCTCTGGTTGCACGGCTAAGCAGCTTTTCCCATGAAACTCCATCCAACATGTCATAGTCAGCTTCTGACATTTTAAGAGAAGTGTAACATCACATGATTTTGTGGTGCAAGATCCACATGAGCTGAGATCTGGATATACTGTGACTTTCCCTGTGTTATTCCATTTTTAATGGACATATCAGACACAAGCATTTGTCAGGCACAGCTACAAATTTTAGTGGTTGAACCTATGTTTTATGTTCACTATCTAGAACCTAAACAGCTACTTGTTCAGAAAGAGGTTTTATTAAAACATCAAAAAAAGTCAAAGCCAAACCAAACTAAAAAGTTCCACCAAACTATGAGATATTAGCTGTACTTCTCCAGAATGCTTCAATGTATATCATCTGTACATAATGATTTTTTTCCCCCAGACTATAAATTTCTGCAGTTTCTGCTGTAACTCCTTACTCTAAGAGAAGACCTCAGCAAACTGGTTCCAGGCCAAGACTTTTTCCAACATTGTTTTCAGCAGCAACAAATACAAACACTTACTGGCAAGCTGTTACTGCAAGCCACTACAGAAAAACGTGGAAACAGAGAGTGGGAGCATAATTCTCCCCTAGGACTGAAAGGTTGGTAGGTAAAATAATATCCAAGCTCAGGAATCAAAGAAACGAGTATTTCAGGAGATGCTATATTCAATCTGCCTCATTGCTACAAAACTAAAACATAGGCACGTGTCATGTTTAGCTTCCTCAAAAAAGAAGAGCCAGCAGCTTCATTGTACCTAAAATACTTTTCTGGAGGTTGGTAAAAACCAATGGGACACACAAATATGGTGTAGTGCTTTGTAACCCAGTACATATGGAACTCACATGTCTTGTTCCAAGCCACAAATGTTGTGCCAAGCTACGACAGGTCCTTGGGACCTGTCACGCTTCCTTGCCTTGGCGTGCTCAGAGGTTGCTTTTAGCTTTAAACAGCAATTATCTAATAAGCAGGTACCTTATACTGATGTTGTCCTAGCATTTGCTTACTCATCGACAATTGTGTAGCATGATACCTATTTGTTTATGTATTTTTTGTAACTAATATTATAATGTGGTTCTTCTGCAGAGACTGAGCTACGTACGGAGTGTAGTCAAAGTTCAGGCACAGGATGCCACCAGAATCCCTGGCCTACAAACCACTCACCTCTGGCCTACTGCTGATAAAGAAACACAACCTTAGGAGCTGCCCAAAACCAGTTTGGGGTCACAAAGAGAACAATAAACAAGTATCCACATATGTAAAACACACTGCATGCACTAAGTTCAGATGTAAGATAGATTTGCACACTGATGAAGAAAAAAATCATGGTACAGAGGGTGTTAACAAGCACACAAATGACTCAACAAGGATCCCAGAGTGAGGAGAATTAAGCTGTCAGCATCATACTGCTGCTTCCAGGGCAGGACTTCACATGCTGAAGACTCAGCAAAGACTCCTGATGCAGAGGAAATTATTGTCCTGAGGGCCCCTGAGGACGTATTATTAACTGACATGAAATGCTAAAATATGCTCTCTATTTTAACAATTCTTTTACTTCCAGGTGTTTCTGCAAATCAGTTTGCTATCGTAACAGATCGGACATAGTTTTCAGCATTTGTTCAAGACATTGCAATAAAATATAAACAGAAGAATATTTTAGGAAAGGAACAGGCAATAAAACATAAAACACTTATGTGGTAAAATACTAATTCACAAAAAAAAAAAAAATCAAAGTGGAGCTAAGAATAAAATATTGACAATAAGTACTGCTTTACAAACACTGACCTTTAGCTGTATGTATCCATTTAAATTTCTCCAATATTTTTGCCCTATCATATTGCCCTTTTTATGTCCTCCTTCCTACCACTGGAAGAGTTGTAATCTACTGTCTCCATTTCAATAGATGAACTTCATTCAAGAGACAGGCTATTCATAAAAAGTCCTGTGTTTTACTCAAAGGATTCACATGTACTCGCATTAGTTTAATACCCCAGCTTTTAACCATCACTTTCCCTGAGGAACAGATACAGGTACCAAATTACTACAGATCATGCTCAGGTTGTACTAACAAAGAAGAAAGAACAAAACCATCTCACAATTCTCAGATTGAGGAGAGGTCTAGTAGGTAGGTGTAAAACTAGTAATATTCAGTACTCATGCTGACAGTTAGAGAATTACACAGGGATTAACTGACATGCTTCAGGATGCAAGAAAATAATCCAGATGAGAAAAAGAAAGAGAGAGATTCACATTTATGGTCTCCACCTTGGTCTTAAAGTATTTAAAAATGTAACATGGAAATAAATTCCTGTAGCCTTAATATGCCACTCACATTAACTATACGCTTTGTTTAATATTAATCCTACTTTTATCTCACATCAAGACATTTCAGCATCTAGAAAAAAATGTGCAAAAGGCTGAAGAAAACTTTGCACAAACAATTTCCAGGAAAACAGATTCAAGGAGAGCAGGAAGGAGAAAACACATCAAAGAGCTCTCCTTTTTACCAAGAGGCAACAGATCAAAAAGGCAAATGCACGTCTGAGGTTGTGCTGAAGCAACGTGCCATGGTGCTCATACATATGGAAGGCGATGTGAGACTAGGGGGTGTGTGTCAGTGGGGTGTCAGGCTGCCCATGATGGGCCCCTATTCGTAGAATCATAGAATTGTTTTGGTTGGAAAAGACCTTTAAGATCATCAAGTCCAACCATGAAGTCCAACCAAGTTGTTGTCAACGTGGTCAGACCAAGTTTCTCTATGTTAAGGGGAGGATCGCTAGTATCCCTTGTGCAAAAAACCCTACAAATCTGCGCTGTGCTGGAGCTACAACTCCTCTGAGATGATGAATAAAGCACACATTCCCTGATTTGCACCAAAAACCCCAGCCCTAAACAAGAAATAAAACCAGCCTCCCACCTGCTCTTGCCACCTCAATTAAAGTTTCCTCTCTCTAAGCTGTCCTTTTTCTTGACTGACAAGTCTTTAATAGAGGGGTCCATCAATCCCGGCGGACAACAGCGCCAGCATCTCTCGGGATCCTCAAGGCTTTTTTCACATTGTTTCATAAGTGATTTGATTCTCCATATCTCGGAGATTTATCACAGCAAGTAACCTAGAGCTTACTCAGAATATACAGACCTGTTTCAGTACAATCTCTCCCTCACATCGAATTAGAACAATTTTTTGCAATTATACCCGCACCATGAACAAATAAGACCCAGGTTACTTTTGTCCCACCATCTACCATGGCAAGTCAGCTCACCACCCTCCCTTCTTCCTGTAAAGAAAAAATATACTTTGGAGTGTAAATAGCTACTTGGGTAAAATAAAGGAGGGAGTGGTAGGACAGGCACATAGTGCTTATAATTTCATAACGTACCCTCTCTTCCTAACTCTTTTTAAGTTGGTATTCAATGTAAGGAAAAGAGATTTTAAAACATTGCTCAAAAGACTTTCCACTACAGACTAAAATGCTTGAAGGCAGGAAACTAAAGCAAAGATTGTCCCCGTCATTATTCAAGAGCTGACAAGTGTAAGGTTTTTAATTAATCCCTGGTCACTCTTTTAAATAGAATGTTTCCACCTCAGTGAGTTTTACCTACTAAAGTGTTTAAAATAAATAAATAGTCCCTTGTGAAAAATTCCAGAGTGCAATATCATTCATATAGGTCTCATTAACATCTAAGAGCCAGTCTAAGGAACAGCTGAATATGTCTGATTCCAAGGCTTTTCTTTTGCTCTCATCCCACATACTTACTTGACTGAGAAGTTACAAGTCTATTTTCTAAGGGTTTTCCACTTACCTTTGAGAGAGATTAAAAACTTGTTGAGGATCGCCATTCTGAATGAGGTATCTTATAGGGTCACCCTCTCTATCAAAAGCCTTTAGGAAAAAAGAGGATAAAATGAAGTCAGTTACAAAGCTTTCTTTTCTCTCCTTCAATTTATAAACTAGAAAAGTAACCCCTGAAGTTCTATTAAAGTTCTCTACAGGAATGACACTAATATCTCTAATTCTAAGGCAATGCTGGTAATTACAGATGAGCTACTTAAAAAAAAGCTGTAGCACATCACAATTCTTACTCCATAGAGAAATGACAATGTCCTGAATATAGACTTTCAAATTACTGGTACACATAGACACACAGCACTACGAGTATGAAATTCAGGCTTTACTCAATTACTTCTATTTTTGTGCAGCTACAGACTGATTAGACTGAATTGTTTGTTTCCTTTGTTCCTATTCTTTACTTCTACTTCTTATCCAGATTCTTCTTTCTCTTCATTTACTGGAATCCCAATCCTTTTGTTGATGCTTCATTGAGCAGTGCAGACATTGCAGCACTCACCCACCACCATAACTTGCTTTTGGGGGGATAAAGATCAGGATGAGACCTTCAAGGACTTTTAACAGCATAAAAACAAGTATATTCCAACTACTAGATGACAAAACAACTTTTCAGAGGTTGAGTAAACTACTCTTGAAGTTAAGCTTCAGCTAATCGATTTCCAAAAATGGCCATGTAATTGTTAATTTTTTTGTCAAGCGGACACACATCTTTTCCCCCAAAAGACTATCAGATGCTTTACAGAGAAAATACCATCTACTGAACTGTCTCACAGTTACTACTATTTAGTATTCAAAATCTAAAGTGATTAAGCACGTTATCACAGGAAAAACAATAAAAACACTCCTATGAGAAATGCAAGAAAACCAACCAACAAGTGCAAAGAATAGGCTTTAATAAGAGAGGAGTCAAAATTAAAAATAAGGACAGAATATTTTTGTGTTCCTCATCTTTCAACAACCATCCTTTTTCTTATCTGTTTTCTGCAAGCATTTCCTGTAGACCACAGTCGAGAACTGTGTATCTTTGGGTCGACCATCTAAAAAGCAGTTCTTAAGATAAAAAAAAAGAAAAAAAAAGAAGAAAATCAACACGCCGCCCTCCAACATGAAGAACAGAAGCACAAACCATTCTAGTGTGCAGGTAGAACCGAGTATCTAGTAAGAGACCAACATGCCTTAATCAAAGGAATTATATAGAAAATAGTGGCTACATCAGATGAAGGGGAACCAGTATAAAAAACAAGCAAGCACCACTATATGGGGTTAGAGTCAGAAAAAGTCAAGGCAAACCTGTAATAGAAAGAGAAAAGAATACAAAGGATAATACAAAGAAGTTTAAATTAGAGGAAACTTGAGGAGCATGGTACCTCGCCACACGATAAAAGCAGAAAGGATGATGTTGAGAAAAATCACACTTCTTGTGTCTCAGCTGCAGTCAAGCAGCTAATAAAATGAATTGTGGCAACAAAGGGGTAAAATCTCAGATGAGAATAGGGAAAGAATAAGGCAGAAAATATGTACGTAAATAGAGCATCTTTAAATCATCTGCTGAAATTAAAGCCTGATGAAATTCATCCTAGTGTATAAAAACATGGGCTGAAGCAATCTCAAAGCCATTAGCAGTTTTCTTTGAAAACTCACAGAGGACAAACATGCTGAAGGGCAAACACAAGGTACATCTTTCACAGAGGAATGAGCCAGAAAAGCACAGACCAGTCAGGTAGAGCTCAATTCCCAGAAAACCACAAATAATCATATTATTTGTAAGTACCTGCGATGACAATATGGAGATGGATAACAGAAAGCTAAATTTCTCAAGAACAAAGTGTGCTGAAGCAATCTAATCTTTTACAACAGGTCTTGTAAATAGAGAAAAAGCTGTGGATGTAATAAGGTGCCCTAGCCATAGTAAGGCTTTTCACGCTGCCTTAAGTGACATTTTCACAAACAAGTTTAGACAACGTGCTCTCCAAATGGAAGATGGGATTAAGCAAGAATAAAACTCATCATAAAAATTAAGGCCAGACACAGTAGTGGATAGCATTTAGTATTGACTAAATTCTGAAAAGGTATGTAGATTGTTCCAGTACCGATCAATATTTTCATTAACTACATCAGTGACAGAACAAAAAATTTGTTTATGAAATCCACGGATGGCACCGAGTGACAGGAAGTGCCAGCATGTTAGAGGGTGTGAGTGGAATTCAGATGTTCTCATGCTGAAGATATGAGCAGTCAGTAAAGTGAAAAATTGTTAGCCAAGAACATGAAACTATACAAATACTGGATGCAGAAAATCTGACTAGCTTGCATCTCTGGGGACTATCATAGATCCTAAAGCACCAGAATCACATTGTTGTTCCTATCTTTACTGGTCCTTTGTATTCTTTTTACCTTAGGTGCAGGAAAGCCTGTCCTCAGGGTAACTCAGAGGTTTGTCTACATTCATTCATAACAAGCTAGGAGCCTTTCAAAAAGATGGAAAATAAAAGACTGGTTCTAGTCCATTCCATTTCCTCCTTATGTCCAAAGAGAACCTACCTTTCAATCAACATACTTAAAAAAACAGGGGGGAAAGTTTACCATCATTTGAAAAAAAAATTTTGTTTTCTCTAAAACCAAGGAACAGCAAGTTATTATGTATGTCAGAAAACCACCAAAGACTTCCACATGAGAAAAGAGCCATCTATACCTACTGTTTTCCAGATCAATTGTATGCAGTGACTTCATAAATTGTACACAATGATTTCATGTCGCTTCCTTGTTCAGCACATAACTGGACCATGTTAACGGTCCTATTTCTTTTGCAGACTCCCAGAAAAATTACACTATTTGCATATTTTAATTAATAACGGCTGGCAGAACATGAAGCAATAAACGCCTCCCAGGCATGCAATAAACTCTGAGTTTTATTTACAAATTAATACTGTGGAGATCATTTAATATTGCATTACTTAATCTCAAATGTTGTTAATTAAAACACCAGTCACAATCAACTGAGTACCTTATAAAATAAATAATAGTATAAGAAAAAATATAACCTTGCATCATCTAGATGAAAAGTTTTAATGGAAAAGGAGAAAGTAAATTTTGTTTTTAGACCATGTATTTTAAAGTCTAATAGGCAAATTTAAAACAGCTCCATTTGCATTGTTATTGACACTGATGTTTTGCAGATCTTCAGATTTTCTAACTTGGGAATATTTAAAATAACTTGCTCACTGTCTCCCAGTTTCTGTAATCCTCATGGTGTATGCAACACTAACAAAATATTATTAAAAGAGTAAGAGAGAGTCATAAAAGCATAACCTTTTAACCCTACTGCACCAACCAAAACATACTTTAAGTTCAAAACAATATATTGATAATACTAATAGTGAAAAAAGGTCTGTATGAAAATTTACATATTAAAATACTTATTAAATATATGAGGTCTGGTAATAGTCCTTATGGAACACAGGCAATACCTTAAGCTATTGTTAAAATTCCACAAAAAAAACCCCAAGATGACTATTGGTAACTTTCTGTTTGCCTGGAAAAGACAGCACAAGATTTCATAAGATTAAATACTCAGTTTATGAATGTTTAAAATGTCCTGGCCAATTTTACAGAGGGAATAAAAAAGAGATGAAGACAGACATATACTCCACAGTAAAAGTCCTTTAATACAGATGGGCATATTAATGCAGAATGAGGCAGTTAAACTTGTAGTATGAAGACAAAGCATCCATGTCTCAGGGCCAGGACCACGAGCCCTACAAGAGATCCAGTTTCTGACTAATCCCCCGGAGATAAAGCCATGCATATTTGTGATTGAACAATTAATTACTTTTCATAAACAAAAATTGTCTAGCGGAATTCAATCATTCATGGCATATTGTTAATATAAGATAAATCTACATTTCAGTGGCAATAAGTAGAAGACAACATTTTCTGTGTGTTTCCAAAGCTCTTCAACTGATTCATTTTACTCTTTTCCAAACACAGGAACTCATCATTTCTGGGCATCTTGGGCATGTAACAAGAGAACACCCACTGCTTTATCACCAACATGTTCACCAGCATCCTGTCTGCGAGGAGAGTAGCTGGCATGACCATTTTGCATCTCGCCAGCCCGGACTGGCACAGGCTGGTGCTCTCAGATTTATTCAGAATACCTTACCAAGGATCATTTGAAAAGGAAAACAAAATGTTTGGGGTTTAGTGAAACATTACAGCAGACAGATTGTTCCAACAATGAGGTTCATTTTCTAACCATGTTTACATCGTGTAAAATCCTTAAACACTAAAACCTGCTAATAGTTCTTCCTGCCTCCAAAGATCACCCAGGCCTCCAGACATATATTCCAGTACCTGCCAAGTAAACACAAATGTTTCTGTTTCTCAGCATGCTCCTGGCTCCTGTTACTCTCTGGGGTTTCCAGAACCACGTGTCTCCCCACCAGTAAGGAGAAGGCTCATGAACAGCATGGCTCTTCAATTCTGAACTCACTTGAAGGCAGCAAAAACATGCCAGAAGTTAATTTTCAGCACTGAGCTAAATGAGCCATCCTCCCTCAGCGCAGGTGACGATATCCGCTTAACCATCCATAATAATCTTAATCTTTCATCAGCAAATGATTTTAATAGAAACTTACCCATTCACCTGCATCAGTGACTCAATTAGAGTTCCTTTATTTCACACACTTTGGTTTGGATTATTTTTTTTTTCCGCCCATTTACTGAATGTGCAAAACACACAGAGCCACTCACTTCAGCTGATACGAACTGACCCAATCCCACCGAGTTCAACAGAGTTCAACAGAGCTACACTGACTTAAAGCAGATAAGGCTTTCTGTGGTTTCTGTTTAGCTCGGGGATCTCCAGTCTGCTTCCTTGCAGTGGCTTTATGTGAAGTCTGAATAACACTATAATGTTTACAGGAACCATGCTCAGGAGAGTGTGCTGTGCTGAGTTTATTGCTTTAGACTTGAGGCCGTAATTATTTCATAATACTGTTAAGTTCCTGATCCCCTAAAAAATATCTAAAGGGTTGTAATTTATCTACTTATTTTGCACAGCTGGCTTTCAAGACATGTGGACAGAGCACAATGCCGCAAAAGCTTAGGGAACAGCAAATAAGCAAGGAGAAAGCTGGTATATTAACCACGGAGCAGCACCTCGAGAAGCAACCTGGGTCTGCAAACCATGTCAAAGCAGCCTTATTTCTACACAATACTGGACTGACGTGCTTTTGCTGCATCCGCTTGTAGAGCTATAGTAGGTGGTCAGTTAGTACAGAGACCTCTGCTTTTTATTCGCCTGCCAACAGCAGTTGTTATATACATCAAGGAGAGGAAATATCTTCAGATCCTTTTCAAAAACACCAGGCTAAAAAAGGCTGAGTGCCAAAAATCTCGCTGAAATTCCACGTGAATTAGGTGCTGAAGGTCCTAAGCTCCTCTGATTTGCTGGCAAACATATATATAGAGAGATTTTAGCATAAGAAATTACAGGCCTTTCAAGTTTTGAGCCATTCATGGAAATTTTTTCTCATCTATTTCAGTTTCATGTGCAGGCTATAGTACATTTTAGCACATTTAACACAAAAAAGAAATTACAAAAATATTAAAGTAAGCACTTTTCCTATATGGTCCACATAAAAGATGCTATTTACTACAATGAAATAATTTTCAATCCCCATAAACCATCTTTTTCCCCCGTATGCACGGACTGGCTTCTGCATGGCATGGGCACAAACAGAAGGAATGTTGTAAAGGCTTACAGGGAAGCATGTGTACCTGCAGGTTTAACAAAACAGCTCCAATTCTCATGGCCTCGCTGACTTCAAGGCTGTACATCAGCTGAGGAAAGCGGGGAGGGCTCTGGTTGTTGGGTGGAAGGACCTCAATGTAAACAGTAGTAATAGAGCTCCTGCAATGCAAGGGGGGAAAAAAAGTCAGAGCCAGTCAATATCAATAAATCAACAAACACAACACGAGGCAGCCAACAATGTCTATTTGATACACTGTGTGTTCTCTAGCTTTAACAACCTCCCTTTGCTCCTTTAAAACCTTCAGGCCATATTTTTCATTCTGCATCAAAAATAAAGCAGGCTGCCACATTAATGGAAGAAAAGCTAAATAATGTCTTTAAAAGTAGCCCAAGTGTTCTTTGAAAAACAAAGCAGGAACGTATCAGTGCACACTCCACACACAAAGACGATTCATAATCCCCTGGTGATGCTGTGTCCTCTAGAAGAGCATGGCAAATTCTGAGCTGGTAACTGCTCCTGCCATGCACAATACCCACCCCTGGAGCATCCCTGCTGTCGTTTCGTTTGTTACCTTTCTTTGGAAGAGAAGGAACAGAAGATGTCAGTGGAGAGGACAATGCTGGGAGGAGACCGATATAGACAACTCTATCACAGGCTGCATGAATACTGCGGCTCATGCAAATAAACCCAAACCCACTTCAGACTAGTGAGTGACGGCAACACAGGAACCTACAAAACTCCCAAGGAGACCTGGCAAACTCTTCAACTGCACTGAAGCCCTAAGATGTCTATACTGCAAATGGCATTCCAGTTTGCAAGTTGAAGGCCCTTCTGGGAACACTGTCCCCCGCTACAGACCCTGCATAGCCCATGCTGTAGACACACTCGCTGTTCAACTGCTCAGGATTGAGAAAGGGAGCCAAAAGGTCCCCTGGAGTTGAACAAGAGATTTAAAATCTGGTTTAACAGAACGTTTCTCTCACATCTTTGCTGAGTTATCCCGTCTGCCTTCTCTCTGGTATATTAAACCAGTACCCCTGCCCCAGAACAAAATCCTGAGGAGAGCAAGTGTTACATCGCCGGTGCAGATTTCTTCTGCAAGAGCCCTTTGACAAAGCTAGTAAATCTCAGGATTTATGGCTGCAGGAAAGAAACCACTTCAGGACAAAAGGATTTGTCACAAATTTTGTCCTTCCCCCAGATCTTCTTTGGAGGATAGAAAGAAAAACATGACCACACAATGAGCTGCTTCTTGCAGAGCTAGCAAACTCAGGGCATTTTTAGAGACTCCTACCAGAAATTACCCAATATTCTATAGTTGAACAGCTTCTGTGTTAACTGGTAGGGTTCATTAAATACCAAAACAACACATGACTGATCAATATTTTTAATTAGTTGTACAGGATTCTGACCAAGCACAGTCACTGCTGCATTACAGATGCTTCCCACCACCCTTTGCCAGCAGGTTTTATAACTCCATGCCACTGATGGGAGTCAGGCAGACCATCACTGCAACACCACGACAGATAGCTTCGTTGTAGGGCCTGTGTCATGCAGCGCACTAACCACCATCCAAGACAACGAGAGTGGCTGGGTGGGTGCCCAATAGTTAGCCAAGGTCAACCCACCATCTGTGTATTAACAGTATATACAAGTTGACTCTACTGAGCCTTGAACATTCAACCACTCCATTGCTACCGTGCCATGACAGCCTAGCAGACATTCTTCAGTGCCCCAAAACCTTGGCTACCAGGTAGTCCAGGGCAATCTCAAGCTTCCCACCAACAGCAATGCTGCAGACACTGCCTTGCCACAGCTGCGTCTCTCTGGAGCAAGTGCCAGATTGTTTCCACCTACAAATATAGGGCACGAGGATCGTCCTGCTTGGAACATAATAGTCAAGTCCTTACTTGATTTCATCACTTTTTAAACAAGTACATAACTTGTACTGAAATGCATCAGTGAATAATAGAGCCTTTCCATCTATCATATCCTTTCCATCTATCATATTTGAGCATTTAAGAAGCTGAGTTTGCTCAGGATATAAACCAAACCAGTGCAATCAGGGGAAGATGGACAATTACCACTGAAGTCGAGCATTCAGTGCAGATTAGCTCCTTATAAACTACAGTCAGTTTCCTGATTTTTTGTCTATTTTAAAATACTCCCTCATATCCCACTAATCTCTCTGAATCAATGTTCCACACTTACATTGCTGAAATAAAAAAATAAAAAAAATACCATCACCAAATGCTCAACAACAGACACAATGAATTAGCAGACAAAATAACACTTGAGCATTGGGGCTACATATATTCTTAAGGGAGCTGCCTGTGTATGATGCACACATCCAAAGAGTTGCAGTTTAGTGTGCATTTTTCTTCCACTGCTGAATATTTAATAAAAATATACTGCTCTGTATCATTTTTTTCCTGATCCTGCTACATTTTAATAATACCCAAGCTGATTTATTGTCTATCAAGCTCTCTCTCAAAACAAAAAAAGTTTCTATTCACCACAATAGCACGCAAATTTTCTTCAAATCTTTAAAATCGGATCACAAAAGTAAAGCACTAGTAGTCTGCAAACTAGAAGCACTATGATATTAAATGGCTGCTTTTTTCATTTCCAATCCATTTTTTATTAGCGCTTTGCAATTTTAACCCTAGCAGTGCAAGGAAAGCATGGTCAACAAGCCACTGAGATTGCATCCCTGTCGCTCAGTCTGCTTTCCACATACAACTGAATTGGATCGTGTATAACAAATATATTTATATACATGTGGACCAATATATCTTTGGTCAAACAATCTCTGGATATACAAGCCAAAGAGAAAAGTGTACTTTTCTGCTCTGTGGAATAATAATCTCATGATCAGGTAGTTTCTAGACTGGACTTTATTTCACAGATCACTGTTATCACTAAGTGACATGTTTCCACCTATACAGGAATCCAAGGTCAATGGTGAAAAGGCTAAAGAGTGAACTGAAATTGTTTGACTTCACAAATGTTCTTCTCATTTTTTTCAATAGACACTGCTCATCGCTATATGCTTAACTATTACTTCAGTTCTAAAAAACTAAACTTCATCTTTAAACTTCAATAGTTTGTATAAACAAATAGACTTAAAGTGCTTAAGTCTACTTAAATATACCTCAATAACTTACATTAATGATGCTTGCTATAGATATAAACTTTAATAACACTAAAAAAAAAAAAAGTTGTTTTCTGCACAGTCACTCACCAGGTATTTAATGTGTCATACTATGCAAAAAAGCTACACAGAAGCCATTTCAATTTAAATTTGTGCTCACAAAGGCTACAAGTTTAGCAGTTTGGTCTTGCTTTGTGCATAAGCAAGGGGATAGTTGAAACCCAGCCAGTTTACAATGACTATAGTTAGCTTGGTATGTCCTGCAGCAGAATCCAGATTTGGGAAAAAATGCTTAATACTTGAAATTACATCAAAATCCTTTATTTATCTATTTTACAGGGCACACACCTTCCTGCCTGCAGAGATACCTAAGTGCTGGCTAGACCTAGCCCATTCCTAGAAGTCTCAAAAATACTGGTTACTGCCTCCAGCATGGCAATGTGAACCACCTAACACAATGTGACATCTTTGCATTAGAAGGAGCAAGAAGTTCATGCAAGCCCAACTGCAAGATACTAACCACCTCACAGCCAGAAGGAAGGAACCAAGGAGATGCAAAAGGACAGTTTTAAAGACCTCGGAGCTGTAGCTCACATGAGTTCTCCCTGGCTTTTCTCTGTGTAAAATGACAGGAGGCTGCTTCAAGCATCACCAGCTCATTTCTGGTTTTCTGGCCTTACAGAAAGAATGTCAGGAAGGCAGCAAAATCTTTTCATCTGAATGTCCCTTGCAGACAGTAAAAGTTGCCCACGTTCTTTCTCCAGGGCACCTTGCTGAAGCTCCAGTGGCCCTCCTCCTGATTTTTTAACCTTCACAGACACAGGAAAAACATCTCTGGGCCCCAAATATACTTCAGGTGAAGGCCAAGCTGGATCCAGGACCACCCACCCCGGTTACAGGAATACTGCCTAGATGGAGTGGTTTTTTTGAACACATATCATAAGCTATGAAACAAATTCCATGCTGTAATTCCATAAAAGGGAAGACAAACAGAAACAACAAGAAATGAAAGCTTTTCTACTTTTGAAGATTACTGCAATAAAGACATTTTCAGAGGAGGAGGAAGCGCATGCTCCCAACGTACATCATCAGAATTGTGTATTTTCAGACAATATGAAAGATTTCTCAAACATAAAAGGAGTTGATGGCAATCAAAGCTGAATTGTAGGAGCTGCTGTTGCTGGGGCCACACCCCTGGATTCTGAAGCTCTCTGAAGAGGTATTATTGATTTTTGTCCTCCACTAAAATACTATGATAGTACTACACAAAAGTAAATGCATAACAGCCCACAATCTTCTCCTCAGCACTTCTAACAGCCTACTATCAGCTACCCTAAGATAGGGCTTATCAAGAAAGCAAGCAAGAGGGAAAGGGAAATATAATTCAACCAGAAGACTCTGCTACCAGATAATAGGTTTAATGAACAATCTACAATCTGAATATTTCAGTGGTTGGAAAATGTAACTATAAAATATGTACACAACAGTATGAACTGCTTTCTTGGAGACATGAGAGAAGCAGCAGGTCCTGAGGAAAAGCTGATGAGTGAAACTCCAATTTTGTGTTATCTTTCCTTCTTATATTCCCCATTTGAGGAAAAGAGAAAAGGTTGTGGGAGATTTAAATGCTGGAAACTATTGTTTCTCTCTGGCATCCTCTTCGGACAGTGAGTTTGTTACATTATCAATACCAGGCCCAGAACACGAGAGACACTTCTATGCATACACACTCCCCAATACCTTCATGAAATGACATTTGCTGTATGTAGAACACAAACTCAAAAGAAGGAGGCAAGTGGGACTCAATACCTTCATTTGTTTTTAACATGAGAGTGTCCTATTCCAATCACACTAAATTTGCAGGCTGCTCTTCTTTATCAGCTGGTAGAAAACAGAAATAATTATGCTGGTGAGAATTTAGGTCTTGGTGGGGACACTGCTCACCATTGGCACAGCTTGTTGTGCATGCCCACAGCATTCCAAGTCCGGATGACCTCGCACACCCAATACCCGGAGAGAAGGTCTCCCGCTCTGCAATCAGACTTTCTGATCCTTTCTACATCCTGAACAGAAAGTATCTCCCTTCTCACTTGCCTTCTTCCTTACATCCCTTCACTTCAATTTCTCTTAACAAATGGGCATGCACAATGACAGCACAACATGTGAACTTTTAAAAAACAGACCACTACAAGCAAATGAAATAATGAAAACTGTGTACTGGGAGGAAAATATAAACAAGGAACAAAAAGTGACAGACTTCTAATACGATACTTTTCCAAAATGTGATCCTTACACCACACAGAACACACAATTGTATTCCACTGTGGAGTTATAGACATAAGGGTGTGCCACACTTCTTATGTGCTGCTAAGCACTGATTAAAATATTAATTTCATTATAAGATGAATTACCTTCTCTGCGCAGGAGGAGCACTATCAGATGCTTTGACAGTGAGAGCATAGGATCGCCCCACTGACAATACAACTCCTGGAGCAATGGTGATAAGGCCTGTTCGGTCATTGATGATGAAGTCTCCCTGATCCCCAGCCAAAATTTCATATACTATCTGTCCATTGGGTCCCTCGTCCGCATCTACAGCGGTGAGCTGCAATTCAAAACCACAATGTCAGCATGCATGGTTCAGTGCTGTATTTTAGTAGTTTTTTGTAAGGCAACTAGGTAGGGGTAGAGGAAGTAGAAGGGAATCTTGAACACCTGTAACATATGCAGGAATTTCTAATCACTGTACAACAAGGATATGATTTAAATGAAGGATAATAGGTGTAAAAATATCATGAAGCAGAGAAAAACTGCTTACCTAAGATTGAAAGCAAATTATTTTAAGATGTGAATTAAGAAAACTAATTCAGACCAAGTTTACTCTCTGTGGATTGGAATTTATAATACTTCCTACAAAGGGGGGAGTGAAGAAAAATATACTTATTGTGTTGCAAATGTAACAAGAGGATTGCATTCAATTACTCAAAGTTCCCATTTCTCTCTACACCCTTCAAAGTGACAGCCTTGTTACTGCCAGAAATTCTAATACCCAGGTCTTGCATTACAAGCCCTCAGCGTGTGGAACTGGAGAACAATGTTTGTATTAACTGACATGTGCACATACCGTAAAGGGAGCCGAGTGGAAGGGAAATGGCAGCTGTTACCATATGGAAACACATGTAGAAACACAACCACACGTGTCACAGATGTGTGCGTGACCCATTTCACACAGCAACATGGCACCACCTACCTGAAAGGCTGTGCTGGTGGGGGACATCTTGGAGCCGTGTGATAAATGCAACCGAGCACATGCCTCTGGACTTTATTGCCTCTCCACCCTCACTCTATACTGGGACTGTGATTGCTCTCGCATGTAGTGTTTCTTCTATATAATTGTACAAGCTGGACAGTGAGCATGAGAAAAATCTAAGGCCTAATATTATAGACCCAAATTATAATGATCAATGTAATGAAATGAGGGGGTTCTTATCTTGTCCCTGGGAAAGGCAACAGGTTTATCCCACTTCTGTAGCATACCACACTAAATCAAACATTTACACACATGGCCAGAAAATATAGCTCAGGATTTATATTTGTTTGCTTTTAGCAAACTGTTAAGTGCCAGTGCCTCTGATTGCCATGCCGTAAAGCAAGTAACTAGCAATCTGAGATTTCAAATCACACCCCTGCCCTGGCACAGTCAGAAATATGCATCCACACCTCAGTCACACCAGTTGACAGCCCCGTGTCCTAGCTAAGCCCTTTCACCTCTTCTCTTCCTTTACACATATATAGAATAACACAAGTTATTCTACATACAAGGTACAACACACAGCAAATTGCTCACGGTGCGTATCAATTGACTTGCATTATTACAATTAAAATTGCATCTTAATTATCATCATATTCAGAAAATAAAAAGCAGCGCAGCATTCTGTCACATTCAGGGTTGAGCCACCAAAGCACCACCAAACTACACCAGTACCTCTGGACTTTCTAAAGTTAATTTCTTCCCATCGGGGTTATTTTGCTGATACACACACTGGTTTCTCAGTTGGCTCTTAATTTGGTATGGCTGTATATTACCTCCAACAGCACAGGGGATGACGTAAAGCCGTATGAGCAGTATTTGAACATCGAGAGGCCACAGCCAGAGCAGGCAGTGGCAGTGCTGCCTGTGCGCCCAGCTGCCTGGTACCAACAGCGGTGGAGTAGAAATGTCAGGGAATGATGGTACAATGGGCTCCTGCTGCTCCTGGCTGCAGGTGAGTGGTTTGAGGTGGGAAATGGCAAGGGGCACCAGCAGGTACAGCAGCAGAGGCCCCCTGGGATGTACAAAGCAATGAGAAATCCCAACCTCAGAAATTATTCCCTGCAGGGCTCCTAAAGTGAGAATAAAAAAAATAAAATAGACATGTAGCTTCCTGAAAGGTCTCTGCTGACCTAGCTGCTTCAGCTTTCTTGAAACAACAGTCACACCAGTGGGCAGCACTGTACACAGGACTGCAAGCCCAGGATTTAAGGGTAACACATGATGACACACAACCTTAGTGCTGACTGCAAAGCCAACGGCAGGATCAAGAGACATTATCTCAGCCAGGGCCAGCCAACGCAGCATGTCTGACACCCTTCTGTCATCCCTGTGACACTCTCAAAGTTGACAGTGTTGCAGACAGGCAGAGGAACTCACTGAAGCTTCTGCTACATTAGGATATAATGCAATCTATTAATCAATATTGCATCAACGCTCAACCTTCAGCAGGCCACAGCCTTTCAGAGTACTGCCTACAAGTTTCAAACCACCTTTGCCCAAGGATAGCTAAAGAACTGGAAGAACAGAAACCAAACCTTGCAATTAGAATGAGAAGGGAGATGAAGAATAAAATCCAAAGCTGTAATATTCAAGTTAATCATATTTGCATGCAACATTAAACACCAACGGGTGTATGTGAAAACTCATGGATCTAGCTGCTTTATAGGATAATCTCCATTTTTTATGCACCTAGGCTCAGTGAAATACGAAATTTCATTTAAAAGTCAAAAACTTGCTCAAAACCAAGAACTAAGTCCACAACATCTTAAACAGAATAAATGAACTGAAATGCTAAAAGGTAAGTGATTTAGGTGCTTTAACAGAAGTGGGGTTTACCCTCTTTGTTAGGAGTGCAAGCTACTACTGCTGTTAGGGACCAAGCTACTTTATAGAGGACTAACCATTTCTAACATGGAATAGGTTGTACACAGTATTCATCAACTGAAAAGCACGTTAGTTACTTTTCTCCTGAAGTAATCAGTGTGCTGCTTCTTTCACACACACAGCACAGTGATCCAAAGCAAACCTCTAACACAGAAGTATTTAACTTAGCTAAATTGATTTTATTTTAATTTCTTTGTCATAGATGCTTCTCTCCAACAATGCAAACTGATCACTGTTGTACCAGAATGAGCAAATCTTAACTCAGGCTCCTATGGTATTTTGAGACACACTGTATATTGAACACAGGATAAGCACTTGAAATACCTCAAAAATCATGAGATATCATCTCCTCTTAGAAGTTTAAAAACAAAATTAATATCCATATGTTATTTTTTGAGAACATATCTATCTTATTCTATATTTTATTTTGAAATTCTAAAAAATGTCATCCTATGAAGACTGCACTTGTGGAATGTGTTTAGCATCCCACCCATATAATGTCTGTATATTACCTTGCAATGGTCAGTCTCAACACACCAAACTCAGCATGTAAAACAGATTTTCTAGAGTTTAGAGCTGAAACCCCTTTCAAATTCTGTTTCATTAAACATTTGTTCTATAGCTTCTATACACAACTGGATATGTTCATTAACCTCACAAAGAGTAACTATCGAACTAAGTGACACAGTTAAGAAAAGGGCTGCAATAACCTTCTCTACTGAACTTTAAAAGTAACCCGCACAAAAAGATAAATAAAGGCTTTACGCAAAATACAAGGTCCTAAGTAATTAATGATGGGATTTGGAACAAGGCCAGTTTTTACTGTGATGACATGAAAAAGAAAATTAATTGACTACACAAGTACACAGATTAATAAAGTTAATTAAGCTCACAAACACTGAATGCTTGAAAAGTGATTTGAATAACATTTTGGGGGCAAAAGAAGGAATCAAAACCAGAATTAAATAGAACTGAAGTTTAACAGTTGCCTTAATATATGATTCTATAAATTCTGTCTCCAGCTGTCCCAGACTGATAGAGCTTCATAATTAACAAGATTTTAAAAACATGGTCTAAAATATACAGGAAGAAGTACAAAACAAGATTTATTTTATTTTTCCTAAGAAGCTTTTTGCATCCAGCAATATCAGCTTCATTACGTTAATATTTAATGAACTGAAAGTTTTGCAAACGAGGTGTATATTCTGCTGCCGGAAGAATATGTTTGGTTTTCTCAGAAGAAAAAAAAGACTTACAATGACAGCCTTACAGCTCCCAAAGACACATTCTTGGTCACTCTATAAGCTCTGCTCAGAATCACTTTACACTTGGAAGGAGGGTGGCTTCAGCGTTTGACCTGCAGTCCTTCTGCAGCAACACTTTTAGTGACCTTGCTCTTAACAGATAAAGTGATTACGAACCTTTCCAGTAGCGCTGTGTTTTTCAACAAATTAAATGTTCAGCAAAGTTGGTCTGACCCATAGTGAATCCTGCAGCAACTGTGAGTCACACTGGTTCACCTCCCAATGGCTGTCCTTGGAATGAGTGCCCCCATTAAACCAGTGCAAGGCTCTGGAGCTGCATTCAGTACACACTGATGTTGTATAATGGTGTCAAGGGAATAGCACAGCTCATCTCCAGAGCAGCACACCAGTGCAAAAATGCTGGGTTAGACGGCAAATTAGACGGTAAAACTCCTGATCCTTCTAGGGCTCAGCAGCACAACTCTGCTATTAGTTGCACTAGGAA